AAAATGGCAAGTTAGGTTTTTTTTTTTTTTTATTTTTTTTTAAACTCAATGAGCATTTTGGATAAAGGAAGACTTTGCTAGAAACACCACCTGTGTCACCTCAGTTATGATGTTACCAATCCAGTTAAAAATATTACTTTGCAGGACACTTGAAAAAAGAAACATTACAGTTAATGAGGAAGTACGTTACCCATAAGAGATCTGGGTAATTTTGGTCTTTTCTAAGAATCCTGCTTTGAAGTGATCTTTTACTTCTGATTTGTGAAGCGACACAAATCTGGGGAACTGGGGTTATTTAGTCTGCAGAAGAGAAGAGTGAGGGGGGATTTGATAGCAGCCTTCAACTACCTGAAGAGGGGTTCCAAAGAGGATGGAGCTAGGCTGTTCTCAGTAGTACCAGATGACAGAACACAAAGCAATGGTCTCAAGTTTCAGTGGGGGAGGTCTAGGTTGGATATTAGAAAACACAATTTCACTAGGAGGGTGGTGAAGCACTGGAATGGGTTACCTAGGGAGGTGGTGGAACCTCCATCTTTAGAGGTTTTTAAGGCCCGGCTTGACAAAGCCTTGGCTAGGGTCATTTAGTTAGTGTTGGTCCTGCTTTGAGCAGGGGATTGGACTAGATGACCTCCTGAGGTCTCTTCCAACCCTAATCGTCTATGATTCCCAACTAGCTAGGGGGAAAAAAACCTGCCACTTTCCGAAAGGAGAAGAGGCACTGTAGTTAGGAAGCATCTGATTTCTCTTTCCCTGAGAGAAATAGTTGGATGCAGCTTCCCTCAGACAAGCAATACCAAGCTTTTCCTTTGTTAGCAAATGCTAGTTTGTTTTTCCGAGCCCATTCTGCAGGCATTAATTTCACTTCCTCTTCCATGGAGGCATGTACAGCACAGTGGCTGTACATTAAAACTTCCCAATTTTACCTGAGAACATCTCAGCATTTACAGCGTTTGCTATATTTCCCAACACTCAGGAATAAGAAATGCTGCATATACTGAGGTAATGTCATTTAGTTATCTACAGGAAAATTGTTAGGTCTAAGGCTACCTTAATCCTGAGAATCATGATTTTCTGGTGCTACATCAAAACTGATCAATTCTCTCAACTCCTGGCACCAAGCAGGAGGAAAATACTGAAGACAGCATATTTAGCTTGTAGCAACTCTCAAGTGTAACTTTTAGCACTATTTTATGGTTTTCACAGTGCAGAGAACAAAAAAGCATGGCTTGAACTTCTTGTAGAAAAGATTCATAACTGATACACCTCCCAGAATGAAGCCAGCAGCAGAGAGTTTGCTGTAGAAAAATTAATCCATTTTTTTAAAGTGATATCCAGTCACTCTTTTGGCACCACAGAGCACAAAGTATCTATCCTGGGGATAACGTCAAATTGCTAAGTCCCCCGTGTGAGTGGAATAATGTTAGCAAGTTCTCTGTGTCTGAGTGCCACTAACAACTGAGAAAATTATCTACAGCACCAAAGTATCACAAGCACAGTAAAATCACTTCACTATTTTCCTATGATTTTTGCCTCTTAAGTATAGATGGGGAAAACTATATTTTACCTTTCTACAGCTACCAAGTCACATGTACTCCACTGCACTAGGTCAGCCATTTGTAAGCCAATGCTTATTATCATGCATGCAACACAAACCTCTGTCTAGGACCAATCTATTATTAAATAAAAGGAGAGAAATTAGAGAAAGGAAAAAAGGGGTTCCACTAAGGCCAGGAAAATGAGCAACACTTTGGAAGAAAAGGGAGCCAGATGAGGAAGTGCAAAGAGTTTCTACTGTGACATAAACTTGTGCTACTCTCCACCAATTTCTTCCCTTCCTTTGAAAGGGTTATTGTCATTTTTCTATAAACTCCCAATGTTATACTATATAAAATAAAGCCCACACTTAAATTTCGGCAGGATCAGGGCCTAAGGCTGTGACAAAGAACTGAGGGAACCCAAGTTAGCGTGGGGGTAAGCCAGAATCCAGATTTCATAAAAGGGCACTGCTTCCTGCACCTCCCCTTGAGTTAAGATAAAGGAAAACTGTCAAGTAGTTGACACTGGCTTTTCTAGTCCATCAATAGGTTTGTTCGATAATTAACATTCAGTACTTACCTCAAGGCTGGGATGTGCCACTCCATCTTTGCCAACTAGTCCTAAATCCACTTTTCTGCCCATGCTGTCACGGAATTTGTTCACAAATATCTCCAATGCCACGTTGACATTTCCTTTCTTCATTTCCCTGAAACATTAAAGGACAGTGTACGCTGAAGACTGTACCTCTTCTCTCTCTCTCCCCCCCATCCTCCCCCTCCCCCCCGATTCCCCCATCCTATACACAGGAAGTGTCCTAGGAATCAGCAATACAAAGTACAAAGAAGAAAAATGTATAAATACATATATACTAGAGCGCATCACATGCTGAACAAACTAAAGTCTGGCATGGACTTTGCCTGTCACCCAAAGCCTTTAATGGGCTCATATTAACCCCATCTCTTGCAAACTAAACAAATTTCTGGTTCTTTCCCTTAATCTTAACACCCAAGCCCTTCTTCATTACTTTTCTGAATGTGAACTTTCTGCCATGCCCTCATCTTTGTACACCTCTACCTTCCTATAACGTGACCCGATATAACACAAATTCGGATATAACGCGGTAAAGCAGTGCTCCGGGAGAGAGGGGGAGGAGTGGGCTGCACACTCCAGTGGATCAAAGCAAGTTCGATATAACGCGGTTTCACCTATAACGCGGTAAGATTTTTTGGCTCCCGAGGACAGCGTTATATCGAGATAGAGGTGTATATTTGATGCTGTTGTGGTTTATCCTTGAGTTATAGCCAAACACGAACTGTGTCATTTAGGGAAAACCCAGCAAACCGAAGACCCCCGAAGATGCTTGCAACAGAATATGGGGATGCTGGATACAATTTTCAGAAGCACCCAAATGACTAAGGTCCCATGAGCGGGGTAAAAGTAGAAGGGAGAAATAGGAGCACAAATGCTCCCTCTATCTCAGAAGAAGCAGCTGTAATTCGAATTTCTCTATCCTGCGCTGCTTCTTGCCTCCCTTCCCCCATCTACCACCAAGAGAAAGGTGGGAGAGCAGATTTTCTCCGATTGTAAGATCTCTGGAGCAGACAGTGGGCACGTCTATCCTGGATCTTTTTGGTTTTGGTACCAAATACAGTTTTTACATTAGTTCAACAATATGCACCAGTGCAGCTTATTCTGCTACTTAAACTGAAAAACTGCACCAGTGCAAGGCACATTTTACACTAGTATGGGGTCTCTATCCTGGGGTTTTGCACTGGAGCAGTTAGTGGTGTAGTTACGCTGGTGCAAAAATGCCCACTGGAGTCACGCCCAGCGTTGTTCTATGTTTGGGAAGCGCCAAACGTATTGTGGGCGCTACTGCATCACAACAGACAAATAGTGAAATAAAGGTAATGAGGAGCAAGATGGTGGAGATGGTTTGTGGGCTACAGGACAGAGGGAGGTCTCAAACTATTGTAATAGCCATAGAAAGTACTGGAAGGTTACCAAAACTTTTGTGGTTTACCTCCTTATTAAGTCTTTACCTTACTGTGTAGTCTGGCCAGCAGTGGTATTAGAGTGTTCAAAATATACAGCATGTTGTGAAGCATAATGCAGTTATCTTATCAAAGATGCCAGGACTAAATTAGACAAAGCTAGTATATTCTTTAAGTAGGCTAGAGCCTTTTCCCTATAAAAATCTAGAAACCCAGGCTCTGTTATCACTGAGTTGAGGATCCCACAGCTGTCCTAGAACAAGTCTACCCAGCATGGCTAAGTATGTAAGAATAACCATTAATGAATTTCTGGACAAAAAAGTTACATTACTAGCTGGATGATTAAAGATACTACAAAACAGATTTACTTTAGTCCAGTGGTCTCCAAAGTGGGGTGCGCAAGAGGATCCTTCAGGGTGCAGGAGGAACACTACTTCCCCCCCGCCCCCCCAGCAGTTCGGCCGGGAGTCCGAGCGGCTTTCCCCCCTTCCTCAGCAGTTCGGCCGGGAGACTGAGTAGCTTTTTTTCTGCTTTGACAGTTCGGCCAGGAGCAGGGGGTTGCGTGCTCAAAAATTTTTTACTGATGGGGTACGCGATCAAAAAAGTTTGGAGACCGCTGCTCTAGTCCACCCATGAAGACTAGTAAAACATGTAGAGATTTAGGTCAGTGTTTTAAGTTCTAAAATAAAACAGAGTGGCCTAAAATTCAGAAACATACAAAAAAGTTGTCTAAACAAGCATCAAGAGCTGAAATGACTTTTTTTGTATAGGTCTCAAAATACTCTAATTTTTTGCTTGCAATCTCTCTGCTCTAATCTACTGTTAAATGGATAATGTACTGAGTATCAATTTTGGTTAACTTATTTGAGATAAGTGAATGTTACTAGCAAGTAGTAAGAACATACTTAATTTTTCCAGTTAAGATTTTGCCTGCATACTGCATACCCGTCAAAGCAATATACATTCGCAGAATTTCATTTGTTCCCTGTTAAGAGACAAGATACACACTTAGTCAATACTAGGTGCCCATTACGTCCAGTATTTCATAAACCTAGTTATACCATGTGCATATTTTCTTACATCATAATTTTTAAATAAAGAGTTCTTAATGTTTAAATGTATGGTGTGAGGTTTTTTCTACATTACTTTTAAGAATTCAAATTCATTTTAGAATGAACCCCTCTTTGGTGGTCTATCCAAGACAAAGAACTGCCTCACTATTGCTGGCAGACAAAATACTGCAAAAGAATCAATAAAGAATGAATTAAAACATGGGAATTAGAGTTATAATTTTGAACACAAGTTCTTTAGCTAACATACCTACTTATTCACATATCTTTTGCATTTTTTAAGTTACACATTTCATGCAGTTCTAGTTTATAAGTCGCCACAAGCAATCCACAATATTTACCTTACTGCCCCAGATTAGATGGATACTTTTCCGCTTTCAGGATTATTTTACTTTATCTTTTAAATGACATTAATGAATTTTGGAGCCTCTTTTTCCTTGAAGCTTTTAGCTATTTTTAGTCTAGATGAGATTCAAAACCAATTGTTCAACACATCCAAAGTATGTCTGGTGCTCAGTGACTGCTTTGGTCATCCTCCTTACTTAGAGAAGTAAACACTGCAGATTTCACTTCTCTAAATAAAAGGAAAGGCCAACAATACCACTAAACATCAGGCATATTTGGTCTACAATATAAAAGCTAGTGCACTCCAAAAAATCAACAGCACTTTGCTCCCACAGATTTATTTTTATTTGAATACTCTAGAAGTCCATTTTAATTTAAATCCACTTTCCTTTTCCACAGTTACATTTTTAGAAACTAATTTCAAACCGAAATCAACATATCCTGCACTAAATGTATTTGCACATCACATTCAAATTGGAAAAATTGTTTTTTTTTTTCTAGCCAGGCCTCAAAGCTTGAAGCTGCTAATGCTGATTTGGAGAGCTGTCTGTTATCGCTGCCACAACACATTAGGATTTTTCCTTGAAAGAAGATGCAAGGGAATAATAATGCTGAAATAAACCTAAGCATTCTGTCCTTGCCTGCAGTAGAAACATACTTCCTTGTCTGATAGTGCTTGCTCTAGCCCCCACAATGAGATACATCGCAAAAAGTTTACATTCTTTTTGTCAGAGAAAAAAACAAGTATCTTTAAAACTTGTCAAGCAGCTACTTTTATGCAAAGTAATCACAGCTTCAAATTAGGAAAAGAATAATTTAGGCGGAAAGACTCAGAGTTAAAGCCTGAGTAAAGCATTATGAACATCTTTAGGAATAAATTTTTTTGGCAGCATGAAATAAGTCTCATCACACTTTACTCAACCCTCACCATACATAATCTACTCTTGGCTAATAGGAAAATGGGTATTGGGTAATTCATTCAAACTAATGACCCATTATCTTACACACAGAAATTTACTTATATGTAGTTGTTGTTCTTTAAGCCCTATTTAGCTACAATACCCATTTTCCCACAAACTAAGACTGAATTTTTTTTTGTCCTTTTGAATTTTTGACAGAGGAAAGCCAATATGGTAGAGAATTGTTTTTCATCCAACTGGCAGAAAGCAGAGACGTTCACTTTCTGATTAGAAGCCACTGGATCCCTGTTACAGCTATCATTGTATTCTTATTCTGTGTATTTCTGGCAGCCATTTGCCAAGATTTTAAGATTGTGTATTAAGTGTCAGCAAAATTCTAGTAAACCGAAGCCTTCTCTCTGTGCATAGTACCCTGCCTCTGCAAAATCCCCAAGTTTGCCACTGAAACTGTTCTTCCCGTCTTTACGGACCTTTTAAAATGTGAATGAAACCAGGAGGACAGAGTCCATTTTATTATGCTGAGTGCTGATTAAGTCAATAGGATTTTATGTAATACCGATGATGCTTATGACTACGAAAGAAAGAAGGAAGTTATTGTTGCTAGAGTTCTTTGCCTACACTTGTTATTTGGGAAAAGAGGTGAACCATTTATTCCTGTTTAATCATTAAGATTTTTGTAAATTTTGCTTCAAAAAGACAGCCATATTTCCTATAAGTTGTGCATACATAAAACCCCCCTAAATGCCAAGAATTTAAATAGGTTTTGACCACAGCTTATATCTAAAGCAGACAAATTAGTGTTATATTAACACTTTTGAAAGCAGAAGGGGAGGAGGGTTGGGGAGTGAAAGAAAGCACTAGCAGGTGTGCTTTTACCTCATATGCAAAGTTTATGCCCAATAAGAAGCTTTAAATTGCTTAACTACAATCCCTTCAGAAGTGTGAAGGTAACAGAAATGCTGACAAACTACTGCAGTATTAGCAGGTGTCACTCTAACAATGAAATCTTCTTTTGCCAGCTGTTCATTTTAAAATAAACTAGCCGAAAACAATTAAATACATAGACTGCGTACATGGGAAGTTAATTGATTTTGTTATATACTTGGTGTTAAATACCATTCTTCAGAGCAAACAATTTACAGCATTTTAAAGAGGTGATTCAAACAACATTTACTGTATTTCAGAGGCAAACTACAGTAGCTGGTATCAAAGAATGAGTTACTGAAAGCCTTCTAATGAAGATGGAAGGTTTTAAGATCCTACCGACGCTTGACTGGAGAATCTGGATGGAATACACAGTTAGAAATATATTTCAAAAGTTTATTCAAATCTTGTTTGGGGTCACCTAGGCTGATTAGCAAAACCTGTTTAAACCAAATCTAAGCACATTCCATTAACTCCACGTCCTAAGAATGACAGTATGTAAAATGGCAATGCCACAGGGCTGCCAAGCATCAACTCAGTCTGTAGTTGCTGCTTTTACCACCAAGAGCCACTGTGTTGCCTATTTTGCAGGCAACCTGTTTGTTTTTCCAACTGCTGCTTCCAGCACTGGAGTCAAATGAGAAAGGAACAGCTGGGAGGAGTAGGTGGCAGCAAGGGCAGAACATGAGGGGACTCAATAGTGGCCCAGGCTCCCATAGCTAGACAACATCAGCCCAACTCCCTCAACTATCATCCAAAATATTCTTCCCCAGACAGCATCCACAGAGTAACCCGACACCTGAACCCCCGATCTATCCTATCACTCACTAATCAGTTGTGGAGCTCACTGATTTAGTTAATGCAGCAAAATAAAAATCAGACATAGGTGTGGTAGAGCTAGGTGAATGCCAGTGGCCTGCCAATTATAGGACATTTTCATTTGTGGCACAGAACTTTTGATGTCCTGTTAAAATTAAAAGTGAGAATTGCCCTCTATTTGTAATGGTTCTTCGGGGGGGTGAAGGGGTGGGGTGGGGGGGAATCTATACTGAAAACCTGAGTCAAACACAAACTAGAGGAATGATTACTGATGATCCAGCTATGAAACAAGGAAGAATGTATTTTGCAATCAACAAGATTTGTTTTTAAAAAATCATCAGTACTCTGGGACTGTCATAGGCTTGGTGGTCTCCGATGAATCTTACTCAGTTTTTTTTTTTTTTTTTTTTTTAAAGTCAGCATGTGAGGAAGAATCTTTACAAGATAAGCTAAGTTTACCTATGCTTATGCTTCAACAAAGCAAGCTACACCACAAAATATATCTTTGAACAAACTTCTATTTGAGTCAAACAATTCCATTAGAGAAAGCAATTCCAAATTAGAAACTAACGTTCATGCATTCTGAAACACCTGAACATTTTGTCTGACCCATCTGTTAGCATTGATTCATCACAAAGAATAAGAATGGAGGGAAGTTAGTTTGAAAATTCTCTTGCTACTAAGACAACTTCACCCCAATTAACCTTTTATTTAAACAACTAACATGCAGTGAAGCATATTTACTTGGCATAAGCTGGTTACAAGTTTTAGCTAAAAAGCATAAAGTAACAAATGGATTTTTTTTATTCTAAGTCAGAATCCTTTGGATATAAAAATGCTGAATTGGGACTGTGTTTTTTCCTTTCACTATGTTTTCTCCTGATACCATATTTAGTATAGCTACTAATATTTTGGTCAAAATGGTCAGTTACTAAATATTTAAAGAGGAGGCAATTATGTCAGTCAGAATCCCCCCCCCCAAAAAAAAAACCCCAAACACCACACATGCCACTCACTCTTTAGGGACAGACAGATGCCAGTTCCACTGGGCATTCAAACTGTGTGCCCAAAAAGGAGCAATCTATTCTCTAGACCCTGCATGTCCTACAGTCTTTACAGAAGGAATACTCTCTTCTCCATGGCACACCAGATAATTCCAACATTATTCCAACTGATACAGCAGAAAATTTGCAACTTCAAATGAAGGCCATTAACAGGATTCATTGTCCATTCTGAAAGAATGCTATATAGAACTTGTTTCATTTAGTTTCAAATTTATGCCAAGAATACTTGGAAGGTGAAGTAGTTCTGAATTACAGAAAGACACAAGTGTATTCATACTTGCCTCAAAAATCAAAAGGATCCTGCTGTCCCGGAGATAACGTTCATAAGGGTATTCTTTCATATAGCCAAGGCCTCCAAGAACTTGTAAAGCTTCACTTACACAAATCCAAGCACCTTCAGAACTAAATACCTGCCAAAAGCACAGTAACTTTTATTACTAGATTATTAAAGTAGATGCCAACTTTAAATAGAAACTAGATTGATTTATTCTTTTATCTTAAGGCAAAAAGAGGGAGAAGGCTAAGAATGAATTGGGATAAATTGTTTATATAAACAACTTTCAAAATATGGCTCTTGCAGTTGCTTTCATCCTAGACAATTTAAAGTGGTCTCCGATTGCACTGGTTATGGTACATGGGAAGTGCACTGGTCCATAAAAATTAATGTTCTAACTGAACAGCCACGCCAAACTCCATCTCACAAAAGCAACATGGTAATTCTATTAGGATGGTTGAACACAAGCCAACAGAATTACTTTCAGCCTGCTTTAAAGATTAATCCATGCTAGAGGATTGATGCTGTCTTAAGAAGATAGCTACTTTTATCAAGACTGTAGAAAGATAAACATACTTAACATTTCCATAGCACCTTCCATCCAAAAATCTCTCAGTAGTCTACTGCCCAAAATCTCAAATTTAGTCTTTCATCCTTTTAAAAAGAGGACTGACTTTGTGGCACCCTGGCTCCTCCTTTCCCCTAGGTCACATGGAAACTCAACTGGGAACTCCCTGGGGATTCAGATCCCATGAACTGGGAGAGAATAGAGCAGGCCACTCAACAGTTTAAATCTTCCCAAATTCAGATGACCAGGAAGCAAGTTACTTTGGACTGAGCATGTAGTAACATAGGTTCACCTTCTAGGTAGTGGAAAACCTTCAGTTCTCAAGAACGCTTTGCCAGTCAGCAACATTCTGAAAACTAATTTATGAAATGCTGGAGAGATATCAATAGCAAAGCCCTGAATTGTATCCTTTTCCATATTGGCAGCCAGTACAGAGGGCAGGCCTGACTCCCTCCCTCACCCCTAGCCTAAGGAGCAAGGGAGCAGCTGCATTCTGCAAGTTTTCCAGCTTCTGAGTCAATTTCAAGGAAAGCCAGGACAGTGGGTCTTTACCAGTTACATTTTAACCAGGTGAGGAGGTCCATGGCTGGAGAAACACCTGGATACTGTTGTCTTGGACCATTGTCACAATGCGGGCCTCTCAATTGGAGAGGAATCCAAAGTCATCCCCAAATTTCACACCTGCTGTCTCTCTATTTGCACCCCTACTCCCTAAATACTGGGCATGCACAAGCAGGATCCTCAGAACAATTCCCCTTGCCTACTAGCAACACTTCAATCTTGCATCAATCTGACAGTGAAAACAGCTCTAGCCCACCCTGTGTAAAGTCAAATTTGAGAGGAGCTGAGGAAATTGGAACATTCGGATGAGGACTGAATTTCAGATGCTCTCTCTCCACTATGTGCGTAGCCAAGATTTGTATGTGGTGATGTCAAAATGCAGCTGCTTCTAGAAATTCTGGGGGGATTAAAGTACTTAAGCTACCTGTATGAGTGTGTTTCATATGAAGACAAGAGCCTAGATCCGGGGGGGGGAGGGATAACTCAGTGGTTTGAGCATTGGCCTGCTAAACCCAGGGTTGAGAGTTCAATCCTTGAGGGGGCCACTTGGGGATCTGGGGCAAAATCAGTACTTGGTCCTGCTAGTGAAGGCAGGGGGCTGGACTCTGACTTTTCAAGGTCCCTTCCAGTTCTAGGAGATGGGATATCTCCATTACTTATTAATTATTATTATCATCATCAGGCCCTGAAGGGCCACCAAAATGGAGTGAGGGAGAGAGTGAAAACAAACCGTGCTCTTTAGCAGGTTCTTGTATCACACCCACCACTGAGGTGTCCGAATGTCTTGGATACGAGGCTACAAGTACAAACTATCAGAGATAGAGGTTTTAGTTTAAATGTTATTCTAATGTTTTATGCCTGGTCTTTTGCAATAAAATGGATTACCTTAACCATAGCTGCCTCAATTGAACAATCTGGCACTCCTGGCCTGTCCATCATTCCTGCAGTGAGATAAGCCATGCTCTCCATTACATATGCTTTCACAGCCATAATGGTAAACTTCTCCTGCCAAATAGCAAACAAACATTTACCATGCATACATGTAGATGTAGAGTTGTTATAGTCAGGTCAGCAATCATAATAAAATTTAGTGCATAACTAAGTGAAGCTTGTATATGTATTAAATCATTAAGTATTAAATGCTATTTAGAATACTTAATAGCAATTGTATTTGTATGAAAAACTTTAAAAAGTTTTAAGTTTGATACATTTATACTTCTATAAATTCAAAACATCAGCACACAAGCATCTAGATTAAATTTATGCAGATTGAATACCAAGCATCTGGTAATCCAGCAATAATTTTTTTAAAACCAGTAGCTGCAACAAAATCCTTCTCCCACCCCTTAATAAGCAAATCATGAAAACCACAGGCTGAGAGAACCTAACATAGGTTTTCAGTTTCCTGATTACCTGAATTAATCCAAAATCACTCAGTTTCTTATTGAACTGTTTTCTTGTACAAGCATACTCTGCTGTCATTTCTTTAAAAAAAAATTAAATAGAGAGAACACATCAATGAGTGAATCTTTTTTTAAAAGGTATTTATATAATTTATTAAAATAACTCAATTGTTCCCTGAACATGTAATCTCAGCTGTATGCAAATGGTACATTTTACATAATTAAATCTATGCCCTTTAGACATTTATTTCCATCAGGAAATCTGTTGTGTTGATTGAATCTCGTTGTCAGATTTACAACTGCATTGGTGCAAAACAATTGCCTGAAAGATTCCTCTAACACATACAACATACCATCAGCAGAGGGGAAATTGTGAGAACATAATCTGTACTCTCCTCTGCTATTAACTAGAATAGACTGAGGATGCATGGTATTTTACAGCAGTATTAAAAACTTACAATTTTTTATTCTAACTTTTTAAAAGCAAAGAGTGGTAGCAACAATGCGATTAAAATACAGCTCCTTGTGATAGAGAAAAAAGCCTTATTACAGGAGAAAAATCCTATCAATAGTTCTTTCATACACCCCTATTTGGGGATTACATCAAGATGACCCCTTTTCATACAAGGTGTCACACCAAACAACTGCTTTGTGTTTTTTTGCTATTCTGGAATCATTTACTGTTTATGAAATAGCTTCTGAGCAAGTAGTGATGTTAGTTTATTAATGTTACTCTTACTTGAATTTACCAGTTGAATGATTCTCCTTAAATTCAAAAAAAGTCTTATGTCACAAAGGATTTGTCATGTAAGTATACAATGAACACCTTTACCCAGATTCCTACAAATGCAAGCCTTCAGATGTCTGAGACTATGCATAGACTTCTGTATGATAAAGCTTAAGTTTCTAACTAGTATGTAGGTTCTTATGCCATGCAATATCTGATCACCTTCCAGTAGCTCATTAAGCAATGTGACTAATATCAGTTCACTAGATTACAATGACTAGAGCTGGTCAAAAATTCTTAAAGGAAACAGCTTTCTGTCAGAATACGCTGATTTGACAGAATAGAAATGTTCTGCAGGAACATGTTGATTCTATCAACGCTTTCCATGGACACGAGGCAGGCAGGCAGGCCAGCTTGCCTGCCTGGTTTCCTGCCTGCCTGGCTCCCCTGCAGCCCACCACCAGCTGGGATGCCGCAGAGGCAGATATCCCAGGGAGCATATTTTGTTTAGAAAATGCCAAAAGGTTCTTGCAGTGGGAACATTTGATCGTTTCCCTAGACTAAATTTTGCAGAATTTCAGTTATGTGAAAAAATTCAAGTTTTTTGGCTTTTCATCACAATTTGGGAAGAAAACTCATTTTTTGTGGGACAAATTCCAATTCCCAGCCAGCTCTAACCAGGTCTTGAATAATGATCAAGCAAATATCACACTGAGCTAATAGAATGGGTTACTCAAAGATTATCTACATTATGCCCCAGCAGGGCTGGAGCCACCAAAATCTCCCCTCTGATAGAATTGTAATCCACAAAAGACTTTGTTGGTACCTTCCTATGAAGCAGTAACTAACTGTATTTTTGAAACAGTAGTTTGAAATGATTGTATTGAAGGTGTAATTTTGGAAACTGTCAGAGGACTTTCAGGCAAGAGAAGATGGAAGAACTTAACCCCACCCCCAGCACAGGAAGCACATTTATCAACATAGACCATGATTATCTCCTATCCAGAGTATAGAGAAATTTTAAGATCTTACGGAAACCAGTGAGTGGTAACTGTTGACAGAAGCTGATTTTATAGCTACCGTTGTATGTAAAATTTGAAGCCTGAATTACTTTACAATGTTCAAGTCAGAATGTTAAGGCAGCTTTTATTATCTCACACACACACACTATTCCTATATCTGGTTGCTTCTAAAAGTAACCTAATATAGCTTTTAAGATGCTCTATTTGTAAATAATTCATTCCAATGCAAAAAAGGTAACCGTTTTATACATAACTGAAAACACCATTAGCATTTTATGGACAAGTAACCTTTAGTGTTAACCAGAGTCTAAATTCAGTTCTAGAGTCCATATCTGAAATGAGTGTGGTTATTAGTGTCATTGAAAGACGTGACATTTGTCTTTTCACAAGATGTTAAGTTTTCTTTTGTAATATAAGGACTGATTTCATTCCTCCCAGAAATTCAGTAAGCTTCATTTTACCTACCTATCAGTTTCTTAATCATTCCTGCAGATGCACTACCCATGCTAAATCTTCCACTATTTAGGATATTCATAGCCACCTACAATGAAGAAATACAGGCCTTTATTCAATAAGTTATACTTTCAGTAAAATGCACTCCATTTTGTAAAATGCCATAGCTTTAGGTTGGTAGATACCAATGCACCTCCAAAATTCATTATGTTCCTCTACAGAAAGTGTACCAAAAATGAATAAGGGTTAAGATAGTTGTAGCTATCCTCAGAACAATTCAGAGAGAACACATCAGATGAAAGACATTTTCTTCAGTGAATGCCTACTTCACACTTTAATGCCCACATTAAAAGCACCTAGTTTCATTAGCAGGTGGCTCTTTTGTCATTGAAGATGTTATTTCTGATAGTGGAAAAGGATGTATACCTCTTTAGTATTTAACTATGCGTTTGCAATAAGAAACACTTTCAGAGCAGCTATTATAGAAATTGTTCCTTTGAATTTTCATCAATGAAAGGTGAGCTCACAGATTGGATTATGAGGTTAATACAATTAAAATATTACTATACATTATTCACTTTAAATTACTACATGGCAGACCCCAAACACAAGAAAACCTGGTGGCTCAGCAAGCGACAAGCATTTTGCATTAGCAATTAGTAGCAGAAAATACCAATTGGTGACCCAGATAGGTTTTTAATAGTGTTTCACCAGTGGAGCACAGTAGTTATAAGTGTTACACAAGTGTTATACTTCGAGAAACTATTGAATATCATCACTAGGACCCTACCAAATTGAGGGTCCATTTTGGTCAATTTTCATGGTGATGGGATTTTAAAAAATACATTTCATGATTTCAGCTATTTAAATTTCATGGTGTTGTAATTGTAGGGGTCCTGACCCAAAAAGGAGGGGGGTGTGTGTGTGGTGTGTGCGTGCATGCGGGGGGTGGGGGGTGTCGCAAGGTTATTGTTGGCGGTGTGTGCGGTACTGCTACCCTGTTCTGCACTGCTGGTGGTGGTGGTGGTGCCGCCTTCAGAGCTGGGTGGCCAGAGAGCAGCGGCTGCTGCCAGGATCCCAGCTCTGAAGGCTGCGCTGCCGCCAGCAGCAGTGCACAAGTAAGGATGGCATAGTATTGCCACCCTTACTTCTGCATTACTGCTGGCAAGGCACTTCTTTCAGAGCTGGGCACCCAGCCAACAGCTGCTGCTCTCTGGCTGCCCAGCTCTGAATACTGCAATCTCCCTAAAATAACTTTGCAATCCCCCTGCAACTCCCTTTTGGATCAGGACCCCCAATTTGAGAAACGCTGGCCTCCCCTGTGAAATCTGTACAGTATAGGGTAAAAGCGCACAAAAGACCAGATTTCATGGTCCATCTCATGTTTTTCATGGCCATTTGGTAGGGCCCTAAATATCAGGCTGCCTTATTGTCTCTAGAGGTCTCATTTTAGACCAGTACAACCCTCAGGGCTTCAAAGATCAATGTATGATTGTGCAGACCGCACTTTTCACCCTGTGCCTGTACTCCATTCACATGGCTAGAGAATCCTGCTATGCAGGGCCAGACCTCCTTCACTTAGCTCAAGGCCAGCCAGCTATCTAGAAAATTTGGGGTATCAAGCCTGCTTTTCTCTCATCTCTCACTACTCTATACAAAGCAACAGAGGGTCCTGTGGCACCTTTGAGACTAACAGAAGTACCAAAGGTGCCACAGGACCCTCTGTTGCTTTTTACAGATTCAGACTAACACGGCTACCCCTCTGATACTCTATACAGCAGAGGAATAGAGGTGGGGAAGTCTTCAAGTCACACTGGATTATTTTCACTTCTACCTCCCCCTACCTCCTTGGTCTCTCTCTGGCTGGCGTACATTAAGAGACAGCTACTCTTGAAGGAGGCAGAGGCAGCTACTCTATGTAGTAGCTGCTGCACAGGAGGCAGAATAGGCTTTCATGGAAAGGAAGGCACTTACTCTCAGCAAAGGTCAAGAGTCACAAACTACACAGAATAAGTTAGAACATAGACTATGTATGTAATGGATATTAATCATTTTTTGGAAAAATGAAGTTTGTGTCCGGACTATTGCAGCATCAAGCCTATTTAAAAGAGATTAACTTCCTCTTCAAACTACATTATATGCAATTATTCAGTTCAGGCCATTTAATTAGAAACAAGAACAGAGTAAGTTAATAAAACAATATCCTGTGTGTCCAGAGCTAAGATACATAATGAAGAAGAAAAATCCTGACTGTAGTGGAGAGAAAGGAAAAAAATCCATGAAGCTCACTAGGATGGAAAACATATCTGTTAAGATGCATACCCTACAGAAGAAAATAGTATGTGCATAATTCCTTATGCTGGGAGCCCGCAGGTGACTGTGACAGCATAAGAAAAATAGGAAACCAAGTTATAATCAGAAGCATGATGTTATTTTTCAGTCCTTAGGAATTTCATTGTGCATCCAGCAAAGGTGCTTAGAGTCATGACCAATAACAGAATAGAAATGCATAATTATATAATACAAGGTTGGGGATGAACACAGGAATACATTTCTTAATTGGTGATGTAGAATACCCATAACTTAGTGCATTACTAAGTGCATGACAACAAAATTCAAGGTACTAAGGCAATGCTTGAGTTGTTGGAATGATAGCTCATAGCTGCTTGTTAAAAAGAAAGGGAGCATAAAGTGGAGAACAGAACCTTTTCTTGCATAATCTCATTCTTCCTCCAAATTCATAGACTATATTAAGAAACCTGGGCTGGAGAAGCATCTGCAGAAGTTTCCTGAAAGCTCAAAGTCTTGTTTCTCTGTAGGCTTTCGTTATTTAAGTGATAATCATTTGACATCAGTCGAAGAATTATCCACGAAAAGCAAAAGAAATCTCACTATCACAGATTTTTATTAGGAAGCATCCAAAAATGCACTCCATTCACCTAGTGCTTGTGGTCTCTAAACTGCTAGAGCAAGCTTGTGTAGGTGATGGTCCTTCCCTCCCAAAGAATAGCCAGGTGAGGGGCATTCCAATTCCAAAATAAAGAAAAAAAAAAATGTGGACCTTAACTACTGCTAAAGAGACTCAGATATTGTTGAGGAAAGATTAAAGCAATGTGGAAGCCAGGCTCAGTCTTAATGCCCTCAAACAGCCAGCACCCATGCAGCAGACAAAAAGACTGATTATAACTGGCTTTTTTTTTTTTTAAATATACTCAGAATATTGATATGGACATCAAAACCTAATTATTATTAAAGGGGAGGGAAATGCAACTTGGAACACTGTGTTCAAAATCAGTGCACACATTTTGTTAATGTTTCAGGTGACTGAAAAGAGGTTAGTCACCTGTGCAGTAACTGACATTCTTCGAGACGAGTGTCCCTGTGGGTGCTCCACTATAGGTGTCGGTGCGCCCCTGCGCCATTGTTTGGAGATTTTTTTTTACAGCAGTACCTATACTGGCCGCGCTTGCGTGGAGCCTGCGTCACATACCAGTCTTGTCTTAACAGTGCGCATACGCGGCCAAGCTCCTCAGTTCCTGCTCTACAACAGAGGCCGCCCCAGCTCTGAAGTAGAGGGGAGGAGGATGGGGAGTGGAGCACCCACAGGGACACTCATCTCGAAGAACGTCAGTTACTGCACAGGTGAGTAACCCCCTCTTCTTCGAGAGGTGTCCCTGTGGGTGCTCCACTCCAGGTGACTTAAAAGCAGTGTATCTCAAGGAGGTAGAGACTTCAGATCTGGAAGGAATGCAGTAGATAGAACAGCTCTGCCCACACGCATATTAGTGATGGGTCCCTGTGTGAGAGCATAATATTTTGCAAATTTACAGTATTTTCAAAAGCCCAAATGGCAGCACTGGAAATGTCCTTAAGGGGGACGTTATGAAGAAAGGCCACCATGGATCTGGTGGAGTGAGTCCTGATAAAAATAGGAGTCGTCGCATTCTATAGTTGATAAAAGACAAATGCAACTCGAGATCCAGTTGGACAGTCTGTGGTTAGAGATAAATGAGCCCTTAGAACGTTCTTCAATAGGGACAAATAGCTTGTCGGAACGCCTAAAGGTTTTAGTCCTGTCAAAGAAAAAGGACAAAGCTCTGCGCACGTCCAAAATGTGCATCCTAGATTCAAAGGAATTCTCATGTGGTTTTGGAAAAGGTAGAGAGATGGATAGACTCATTGACGTGGAAAGATGAGTGCACCTTCAGTAGAATTTCGGGGAGTAAGCATAGGGTGACTTTGTCCTTAAAAATATGGTGTATGGCAGATCTGCCATGAGTGCTGCAATTTCTCCTGCGCATCTTGCAGAGGCAATTGCTACCAGAAATGCAGTTTTTATAGAGAGATGTAGGAGGGAACATGTGGCTAATGGTTTTTGGGTTAGGCATGTTAAGACTAAGGGAAGGTCCCAAGATTGATTAGGCTGTTTGATGTCTGGGTATAGGGCTTGGGGTCCCTTAAGGAATCGCTTAGTAATGCGGTGAGCAAAGATAAGTCCTATCGTCGATGGCATCATGGAACGTTATAATTGCGGCCAAGTGGACTTTGATGGGACTGTGGGAGAGTCCAGAGAGTTTAATCTTTAACAGAGTTGAGGATTAGCGGGAGAGGCGTGGAGAAAAGGAGCGGTTTTTGTGACAGCCCACGAGTGTGTAAATCTTGTCCCGTTATGAAGGCATGTGGTGCATGTAGAATTTGTTGTGCTATGAAGGAGTACATTTCAAACTATTATATCCTCGTTTAGTTCCCATTCGTGGTCTATAGGAAATCTTCTGCTGAAGTTGTCGCGGTGGTATTGAGAGAGCCAGGTAGAGTATGCAGCTGATAGTCAGACATTGTGTCTGAGACGCCAGTTTAATCACTTCTGTACAAAAAGAGTGGGATCGCTCCCCCCTCCCCCAGCCTGTTTACATTGAACATGCAGGCAATGTTGTTGGTCATTATCCTGACATGTTGGTTTTGTATGAAGGGGAGAGATTGGAGGCAGGCATTGTGTATCGCTCAGAGTTCTAGACGTTGATGTGAAGGGACGTCTCAACAGGAGACAAAAGCCCCTGGGCAGTGTATTGGGGCATGTGTACTCCCTAT